CTGGTCGAGTGGTGCAGGAGTGCGTGCGCTCTGACATGCAAGAATCCTGGCAGATTGTATGTTGAAGCATTGCTCCTGTGTGCGTTATCAAAAAAAAAGCCTGGAATGCGACGAACAAAAACAGTGCGTCGAACAAGACGTGTGGGCAGACATTGGACACGTACGCGTGGCGGCGCGCGCATGCGGCCCCCGCGGTGCTTTGGTGTTTGAGCGCATGCTTGATCAACGCGGATGCACTGCGTGGTGAGATGAGGATACGGGTTGTGGTCGAGGCTGCTGAAATCAGAGGGTTGCCCTACGATTCCAACGAGTGCGCGCGGACAGAACGTCTGCCACAGGCTTGGCGACACATCATCCTGGCGATCAGAGCCCAGGCATCTGCAATCGTGAATGCCGCAGCTGTGACTACCGTCTTTGGTGGAGCCCCCTCTGGGGCCACGAAACGCGTGAAAGGTGCGCCGAATCGGGTGCGGGGCCGCCATGCGGACCCTGCCGCTGGGGCCTTCGGCGGAGCTCCCTGTGGGGCCACGAAACGCGTGAGGGGTGTGCCGAATCGGGTGCGGGGCCGCCATGCAGACCCTGCCGCCTGGGGCCTGCGGTGGAGCTCCCTGTGGGGCCACGAAACGAGTGAGGGGTGTGTCGAATCGGGTGCGGGGCCGCCATGCGGACCCTGCCGCTGGGGCCCCCGGTGGAGCTCCGTGAGGGGCCGCCATGCGGACCCTGCCGCTGGGGCATTCGGTGGAGCTCCTTATGGAGCCACGAAGTGTGTGAAGGGTGTGCCGAATCGGGTGCGGGGCTGCCATGCGGACCCTGCCGCTGGGGCCTTCGGTGGAGCTACCTATGGGGCCACGGAACGTGTGAGGGGTGTGCCGACATGGACATGCCGAGAGCAGAGGCAGGGATGGGAGGAGGGAGGAGGGAGAGGAGGAGAGGAAGGAGAACGCAAAGCGCTGTCACTTTAAAACGGGAACCCATCACCACAGGATTGTTGGGAACCCGTGACTTTGTCCCACCCATCCTGTGGTATCGGGTCCTCGTTTTGAATCGACATCGCGACGCGTCTCACTCCTTCCTCCTTCCCCTCCTCCTTACTCCTCTCCTCCCATCCCTGCCTCTGCCCTCCGCATGCCAATTTCGACACACCCCTCACACGCTTCGTAGCCCCATAGGGAGCTCCAACGAAGGCTCACATGCAAGGGTCCGCATGGCGGCGCCGCCTCATTTCGGCACACCCCTCACACGTTTCGTGGCCCCATAATGGGGGGGCCCGCTACGCCCCAGATGTCAGGGTCCGCATGGTGGCGCCGTCTCGTTTCGGCACACTCCTCGCGCTCTGCGTGGCCCCATCAGGTGGCCCAAACTGAGGCCCCAATGCCAGGATCTGATTGGCGGCGCCGCCTCATTTCGGCACGCCCCTCACACGCTGTGTGGCCCCACGGGGAGCTCCAACTAAGGCCTAAACATCAGGGTCGACATGGCGGCGCTGCCCCTCACACGCTTCGTGGCCCCATAGAGAACCCCAAGGCCCAAATGGCACGGTCCGCATGGCGCCACGGATCTGGGGGATCCCGTTTTGGTGCCCCCCCCCTGGCGTGTATGTGCATATATATATATATATATATATATATATATATATGTGTGTAGAACAAGGGAAAGCGTGTGATTGTATAAGCTGCGGGATGCTTTTTTTTGCCTGGAAGAAGCATGAATTCGACAAGCGCGGGTGTGGCCCGCATGCCCCCATTTGACAAGGATGGCAGACAATCTACTGTTCTCTCATGAATTTACCACGTTTGCGCTGCGCCCGCACGCGCGTAGAACTTTAAACATGTTGTTGAGTCTCTCGAGTTGAAAATCACTGGGTGCTTCATGTGTGGTAGAAGAACTTTACCTTGAAATGCTTATGATATCATAATGGCGTTTGAATGATTGGGGCATGCGCGCGCGGGGGCAAGCGCGCGTGGCCTGCATGAAACAGCTTCACCTGGATTCTTGCAGCACTCATTTGCCAGATCAGCGCGTGCACACCGCAATCATGGTACCTATCATCTGACAGGGACGGCGGGGCGAGTCGACATCAGCTCGGTGGGGGCACGCTGGGATGCTATGCTTCCGCACGTCGGATGGACGCTCGCGCAGAAGAAATGCGAAAAGCCAACACGCGGAAGGGAACCAGTCGTAGCTGCCCCGATACGCAACACGCAACACGTACCGTACCTGTACGGCACTCAACACGTCGGCCGAAAACGCAAGTCCGACGCGATACCTTCGCCAATGCGTGGTCCAATACGTGGAGCCAACACGCAACGTATTGACACGGACGTCTCGAACACGGGACGTGTTGCGTTTCAAAACGCGCGTGTCGTTATGTCGGGCGTGTCCCCCTACAGGGGGATCTTCGACGGAAACTGAAAAAGTACCCCAGAAATGCCCCAGAAAGGTAAGCAAATACTCAGATAATAATCCCCAGACTATTTTTGGACTATTTTTTTATTATTTTGGGGGTGTTTTTTGTTCTTCGTCGAACATTCTCCTGTAGGGGGACAGGCAGGACCTAAGCGTATCGAGGCAACTCGGGAACCAGTGAATCTGGCCTCGGCACGGTGGCAGAGCACGCGCGTCTGTGCGGTAAGCGACCATCCTCTTCCAGATACCTAGATGGACCTTCCTTCTTCACCTTCCCATTCTTCGTCTTGTCTGCGGGTCCTCCCAATTCTTCGGATCGACTCGGCCTGGGGCTCCCAGAAGACCTCTCGGAGCCATCGTCGGCATCTTCAAGCTACATTTCGAGGCTCCTCCTCCTCCTCCTCCTCCTCCTCCTCCTCGTCTTCCTCCTCCTCCCCTCCTCCTCCTCCTCCTCCTCCTCCTCCTCCTCCTCCTCCTCCTCCTCCTCCTCCCCTCCCCCTCATCCTCCTCCTCCTCCTCCTCTCCTCCTCCTCCTCCTCCTCCTCCTCCTCCTCCTCCTCCTCCTCCATCCTCCTCCTCCTCCCCTCCTCCTCCTCCTCCCCTCCCCTCCTCCCCTCCTCCTCCCCCTCCCTTCCTCCCCGCCCCTCCCCTCCTCCTCCCCCCCTCCTCCAGAAAACAGTCCCGGAAACGCCAGCCAGTCCCTCGGGGATGCCAGCAAGAGCCCCTCAGTGCGAGCACCGCCTGGGGGAGGGGCGACGCCGGGGCAACGGGGGGAGTGGGGGGGGGGACGACCAGGCTCCGAGGGGCGCGGGCCGAAGCGAGCCTGCGAGCTCGCCCCACCCACGCGCGCCGCGCGCGCGGCGCGCTGCATCGGGGCGGCGGGGGCGGAGGAGGCGGCACTCGGATTCGCGGTGTATTCACAACCGGGGCGGGGCCCGCAGCCCTGCGCGCTCGTTGGGGGCTTCGAGCCCAGGTTGAGCGCTCGCCGAGGGCGACGGCGCAGCCAGAAGCTTCAGCCTCAGGCCGTCTCGAAGGCGTCCTCGGAGTCCTCCAGCGGAGAAAGGAAAATCGTGAGCTCGTCGTCGGAGCCGCAGTGCCTCTGCAGGTTCCGCATCGAGGTTCCTGTGACGTCTGCGACCTTTCCGCGGCGCTCACCATGGGGTGGCGCCAGGGGGGGATGGCCTCCTGAGGAGGCGAAGGGCTTCTGAAAAGGCGAGGGCCTTCTCCGAAGGGCCCCGCTGCTTCTCAGAAGGCATCCCACACGCCAGGAGGGCTGCTCAGCAGCCACCCGCCTCCTGAGCCCCCCCCGCCTCCTGAGAAGCCCGCGCGCCCTCGCGCCGCCCCCTCGTGTCCGGTGCTGCAAAAAGTGCCCCTGGCCCGAGGTGCCCCCAGCTTTTCGCTCCGCTTTGGAGCCCCTGAGGCCCTCTTGGCCTCGCGAGGGGTGCCTCTGGACCCAGACCCCCTCGAGTTATGAAAAAATCACGACGGGAGGTTTTTCAGTGTTTTTGGCCTTTGGGGGCCCTTACCGGCCCTCGGGACCGTCAAAAAACGACTCAGGACGAAAAACCGGTCCCGGGGAATGGGTCGAGACCTCGGGGGGTCGACGTCATGAAAAAATCATGACGTCGGGGGTCTGGGCTGGAGGCGCCTGGGCCACCCTGGGCCACCCCGAGAATCCTGGGGGGCACCTTGGGCCAGGTGTTGAGGCCCAGTAGGACGACCGGCGTGCTGACCCCCCCCCTTCGCGACAAGAGGTGCGTCGCGCATTCGTCGCCCGTGCGCCGCCCGTGCGTCGGCCGCCGAAAAGGCCGGCCGTCCTCTCGAGCGTGAACGTCGCCAGGGGCACTCCTGGCAACACCCGATCCCCAGACCCCCGACGGCATGATTTTTGACGCCGACCCCCCGAGGTCTCGACCCATTCCCCGGGACCGGTTTTTCGTCCTGAGTCGTTTTGTTGACGGTCCCGAGGGCCGGTAAGGGCCCCCAAAGGCCAAAAATAATGAAAAACCTCCCGTCGTGATTTTTTCATAACTCGAGGGGGTCTGGGGACGAAGAACGCATCGGGCGAGAATCCATCGCGGGAGCCTACGAGAGCCGGGGAAGCCCGGAGGGGATCTCTCTATGTCTGGGCGGCGGGGCCCTCGACCTCGGAGCGCTCTCGGGAGGGCTCTCGGAGCGAGCTGCGGCACGCTCCCGGAACGGAGTCGTCCTCGCCGTCGCCAAAATAGAAAATACCCCAAACATATCAAACAAAATAGTCCAGAAATGGTCAGGGGACTACTGTTTGAACATCTTTTGGCCATGCTGGGGCATTCTGGGGGTCTTTTTTATCTTTCGTCGAAGCTCCTCCTGTGGGGGGAGAGGCCCGACTTACTCCTCGAACGGAGTCGTCCTCGCCCTCGCCCTCGCCCCGTCCGCGGGGGCTCCCAGCTCCGCGCTGCGCGCTGCGCGGAGCGCGGAGTTGGGAACGACTTCGCGCTCCCGCGCCGCCCCCCAGGGGAGAAGAGGAGGGCGAGGAGGCATCGGCGCCGAGCCGCGAGGCGCGGAGCGCGAGTAATTAACTTCGCGCCCTCGAGGGCGCCCGTGGTCCGAGA